CATCCCCTGTGTCCGGTGCATCCGGTGCATCCCCTGCACCTGTGAATAATTCATCCCCTGTGTCCGGTGCATCCGGTACATCCCCTGCACCTGTGAATAATCCATCCCCTGCACCTGTGAATAATTCATCCCCTGTGTCCGGTGCGTCCGGTGCATCCCCTATAGCTGCATCCCCTGTGTCCGGTGCATTCCTTACACCTGCGCCCAATACACCTGCGCCCAATACACCTGCGCTCAATACACCTGCGCCCAATACACCTGCGCCCGATGTATCTACACCTGTGTCCCCTCAATCTGCACCTGTAAAAACACCTGAACCTGATGCAGCAAAAGCCAATCAAAAAAATTCTACCAAACCATTAATTACAACGACTTTTAGTAGTACTATGACTACAGTTATTCCAGAACATACTGAGGCGGTTACGACAACTGATCCAAATGGAAATGTAGAGATAGTAAACGCCGTCGTCCCAGCAAGCACTGTTGTGGCTGTTAAACAAGTAGTGTCTGCTGTTCCTGCCGACGATCAATCTATGAGTTATTCCTCGGCCAATTTTATCAAATTTAATGCCGGCTGGGGAGTATGTTTAAGTTTAGGTCTTGGTTTTATGAGTTTTATATTTGTTGCTTAAGTAATTAGACATTAATTTTAAATTCATAAAAATGTATTAAATAATGTGTGTTGTTATTTAACTTAAAATAAATAAAGTTATTGGTGAATGTATTAAAAATTTTGGCTAATTTAATACATTGTATATATTTTAAAAGGATTGGTATAATAAAAAAAATTTTTTCTAAATAATTTCAGAAACTTAAAAACTTGCATTAAATATAGTTAATATCAATCTCAACCTCTAATAAAAAATTGAACTCGGCCATGTGAATACTACCAACCCTATCTAATCTAGATTGATATTTTCATAATTCCTGGAACACCTAGCCGAATGATTTTTCAGCCGATTCGATTAAGTTTGTACGATCTGTATAATAAAAACTACATTGTTTCATAATAACTGTTTTACAGTCCGTTATAACAATAATGCCAACATTATTAAACTTTCTTATCCAACATGTTTAATATGTCAATTAAGTCTTAACAAGAAATATAAAAAATGCACTATATATTAATTAGACTTTTATAATAAATATATTACACGAAGTACATGTTAAAAGAAGATTCTGTATATAGATAAATATTACGTTTATTTGTATATATATAAGTTGGTTCGTAGCCCTTCAAATTGTCATAACGTCTAACCAGAGTTCCATCTCAGATCATATGGGCGAAAATATCCAATTTCGTGATAATTTAATGTGAGTGATTAGGTTAAATAAAATTTTGGCCAATCGTTTATGTGATATGGCATAATTATTGAGAATAAATGTGATATTTTGATCAGAAATTGTAAATCCGATAATGAATTGCTTATAAATCGCTTATAAATTTTACTTATAAATTTGTACCTGATTATAACCTGATGCTTATAA